TACATGATTTCAGCTGCATCTCGATCAGCAGATGGAGTTTGCTCAGTTGTCGTGGAGATGGTGAGTGGTTGAAAGTTGTGGGGAAAGGTCAGTGTCATTTCTGACACCAAAACAAAGATATAGAGAAATTGCACTGATGATTTTGAATCTATCTCCATGTTGTGTTTATTGATTAGATATAAATTTATTTATAGGAGAGAGTGCACATTAATCAACACTGACATTTTTAAAACATTAGAGTAAATGTACTGGGTTGAGCTCAACATTTTGCAACTAAAAACAGACAGAACTGACTCAAAACTTTATAGCCAATAAAATAGCAATAAAAGAGAGTCATACACAGCACTGGTATATCTTTATTTTCCTTCTTTTTTTTTAGATCCTTACAGGTGCGTTCAGTTAAAATGATATCCGAAAGGTTAGAATTACAGATGAGTAAAGACTTTAGATAGGTTGAAGGATGTAACTTAACTTTGCAATGATGTGAGTGAAAGTGCAACTAAAGGGCAATGATCATTGATAACTGTCAGAGAAACACCAACAAATAAAGATGTGTTTTCCTAAAAAAAAACCAAAAAAGCAAATTTTTTAAACTTTTATCCAAAATGGCAACTGGGAAGCCCACTTAGTTGAATTTCTTGATAACAAATCTGATACACTTTTGTCCATTTTTAATGTCATGATGCGGCTTGAAGAATTTCAGAGAAAAGGGGAGGTGGAACAAGTTTCCTGGAACAATTTTACATCAAAGGCATGAGCTGGCACAAAATAAAACCCAGTGGAAAGACAACAGGGATCATAACAGCATCAGATAGTCTCATCGAACACATTTCAAACTACAAAGGGCCGATGCAAACGCCTCTCAAATCCTCCTTTAAAGGGAAAATCAAGTGAAGTGCTCCATGTGCTTTTGAAATTGAATTTGAAGTAAAGCTGGGGAACTGTGAACTAAATGAGTACCAGGTCCATAATGTTATTCCGTCTTCATGTCTCTCTCTCAACTTTTTTCCACAAATAAAACTTGTCGGAAAACATGGAAATGCTGACATGCTTTGGATTGTAAATCTGTAAAACAGCAGCTGTTTTGCATTATACACTCATGTATGAGGGACAATCATTTCCCACACTAACTTGTCTCAGATATGTCGGACTGATGTTAGCCTTAAAAATATTTTGTGTTATGGATAAAAACATAAAACATTGTTTTGAGAACAAATTTCAACTTGTGGAAAATTCAAGTAGCTAAAAGCACAAGACAGCAATCTCTTACTTTTGGCTTTGTTGTGTTCAGGTAAAAGTGTTATCTTAAAATAACCATTCAAAACCATAACAAAACCTCTCGGATGACAAAAAATGTAATGTAAAAGAAAACCCTGATGATTAATTTAGCAATCATAGAAATATTTGACTTATGCTAGAAATTCTGCTTAACATAACTACTAATTAAATGTAATTTAAGTAAATCTCCCTTTAGACGTATACATTTTAAAATACATGCATACAATGCTTTTCATATAGAGGACTTATAGAACTTATTTACAAAAACAAACAAGATATTGAATCAGTCTCAGGTTAGATGGTGCAGACAGATGATGTCTCTCAGACAACAAAGTCATCTGACAGCAGAAGTCCCTCTCCTGTCTATGTTTTGGCAATAGCCCCTAACTTTCCAAAAAGTATCAGGTAGTAGAGCGTGTCTTACTGTAAATGATACCTAAAACATTTAACATCCCAAGCAAGTAATGTATAAACCTGATTTAAATACAAGTTAAATGTTACGCTCCAGTTACTGTATATAATGAAACAGGAGTCCAATGCAGTGTCAGAATATCAGCATCAGTGCAAGCCTCTTTTCAGGTGTGTCCTTTCTCATTTAGTGTGCTGAACTCAGACCAGCAAGTTAAACACACAGACCTAAACAGGATGACATGGGTGAAACCATGTTGTGATATACATATGAATTTATTTTAATAGCTTATTGGCTATATATTAATATGAATAAATCATAATGGAAAACTATGCAAAATGTATTGCAATTTATTATAATTTAAATATGCAAAATGATTGATACAGTATGACCAGAAATGACCAAAAATCAATAAACAATCATATTATTATAGCCAAGCCCAATTACAAGCTATTTAACATTTATATTTAACTCCACTGATTATTTGAATATAAACAAATTCAAATGATGATCTGTGTAAACGGGGTTGTTCATAGTGACAAAACCAAAGAGAGTTATGGCCCCTCTGTATCTCTATGGAGCTTCTTGGTCTTTAGATTTAGCATGGTCAAATCCAGTGCTTGAAAGGCCTAAGGTGCATAAGTAGTGTCAGTCAGTCAGTGGTCACATAATGGGTGCACTGCGTCAGGTGGTATAGTTAACTTAAAGGGCAAGACATTATTGGAGTTTATTTTTCTCCCCTGGGTGGAGTTGAACGGCTCATTTACTGTATGTTTAATATAGTCAGCAAGCAGCTGTTTTCAGCAAACAAGGTCTGTTGAACCCATTAACCTGGGTTCAACGGGTTTATCAGAGCCAAAGTTTGCGTTTGGCTGGTGCAGAAATTCTACCACATAGCAGCTAAAGAAATATGTGTTGTATGTTGGTGGAGACCAAACCAGAGCTACAAGGTAGGTCTATAAGTGAATATCGCACTTGCGTTTGTCATCTGGCAGAAACACAACTTACTGTTTTTAGATATAAATATGCACATGTTTTCACTTGTATGAATCTACTCCTATGTACATAATAGTTCAGCTCTGTTGTCCTTGATTTAAGCTGTATGTGTCTTTCTATCTCCCTATTGTTCTTCGAACTGTGTGCAAGTACATTGTCAGCAACTTAAAACAAATCCCATTACTATGTGTACTTGGCCAGTAATGATTCTGATGCGATAATAACCTTGCTCTGTTCCTACATAAGCAATTGTTGGCTAACATGTTAGCCATCAGGGCTGCGTGTCCGACTAGAGTTCTTCTTCCCGAAAATACTTGTAACAACTTTATCTTGTCACATCTTTTGTTTTAATTTCTGTTTCATTTGAAATAAATAATCTTCACCTTAAGAGGCATACACACGAGAGAGATGATACTGACACACATTCATTATATATGTGTTAACTGTTTAAACTGCTATGAAACAAATTGTGGTAAATATTACCAAACGTCTATATAGAACCAGAAGTCATTTTCTCGTGATAAATTATCTCATTATCTTTAAAAATCTGTCTTTTGTTTTTTCAAGATAATGAGATAAATTGACTTGTGATCTTGACATTACAGCCTCTGTACTCCTGATAAGAATAAACCATTTTTAGTTTTCTCGTGATAATGGGTTCATTATCTCATTATTTTGAGATAATAAAGCTTGTTTTCCCAAGATGATGAAATAATTAATTTGTGATATCGAGATAATGGCATTAAAAAACCATAATTACCAGTACGGCTGTTCTTGGCTTCCATACATAGAGTTAATTTCTGTAAAAATTGTCAGTACTAACTAACATTATTTTATTTTCGGGACAATGATGTGGGGACAGCCACAAAAACTATTTTAATCTGTTGAACAGTTGGGTGTCTTGGCATGCCCTTGCGAACTTACAGTGTTATAGCATCACTGCAACACTATTTAACAGTTAATGGTTAATGAATTAACTGACTATGCACAGCATAATTAACAACATACAGTTAATACAGTTACAGTTATTAAGCTAATGTTATTTTCTTAACACCATAAAGCAGTGCCACTAATGTTGTGGTGAACAACAGGTGACACAGATTTTAAAAGCTGTGTGAAGCTATTTGAATATTTGCAATTGATTTTCAAGGACATGGCCTGGGCTTGGCTGAAGCAAAACATTTACCTAAGTTAAATCATTATGCTGAAGCTGCCGAACGTGAGTGGGGATTGTTTGATGTAAAGTTTGTTTTCCCTTTCCAAGAAGAGTCAATGTTCCCTGGCAATCCTCTTCCTTGTGGGAAAAAAAATGGAGGATTTACCCTATGGTTAGCCATACTGGTAAACCTTACCAACCATTAGCCTGATGTTTTTCTTTATCCTTTTGTTATGACTTAACCCTGACAAGCAGGCTTACTGTATGTTTAAAACATGGTAACTGTCATCTGGTGGATTTCCTGTTTTGCAGTAGGTTAAGTCTGCCTGATAGACACGAGTTATTGAGTGGTCTTTTGAAACCATTTGAAAGCTGTTATGGATCGATAATCTCAAAAGGGCACGGTGGAGCTAAAAACATGGCTGGTTGTCATAGTTCCTGATGATGCATGATGCAAAAATAATTGATCAATTTTCTTTAATCATGACTCAGCTTTGCTTTGAATACAAAATGAAGAATCATCTAAATAACCTATTTTCAGCCGGTAGCTGTTGCACCTGTTTAGTTCAGGCTGATATAACAGGCCCCTCTTGGGTGTATCATATATCGTCTGAAGCTTATGACAGCTAATCTTGCCATGTTGCTTCCAACAGATGGCGCTGTAGATTTAAGAGACATGATTCACAGCTAAAATAAATAAACAATCGCAGCAAGTGTCTCATATGAAGACACTGCAGTAATCCTGCCATGCATTGTAGAGAGATGGTGGATAACAATTCCTGAGGAACTATTCTAGTTTAGGAATATTACAGGGTTGCTTTATCTGCATAATTTGGAGTTAAAAAAACAAAACAAAAACACATTATCTCATTATGGCCAAAACAGTATTTTTTTTAATGAGAAGAAATACATAAACAATATATTTATATATAGTAGATTTCATTATTATTTCATCAACCTGCTATTTTTCTTTACAATTGATTTTAACTTTACAAAACTATTCCTATTGTTTATGTTTTTAAAAACGTCCACATATTGCTGACTTAATGTTGAACTGTGTGTGTCCAAACATTGACCCTGCCTCTTGCCATAGCTGTACAATGACTGGCTTCAACTGGAGGGGTGGGGGCTGATGAAGAAGAGTGATGATGGCGCAGCAGTGGAGCCGTTTGACCTCCCACCGGAGGAGTGGCGTTGACAGAAGGATGGTCCAGCAGATAGAGGCGGCAGCATGCTGAGCGCAGCCGCCGCACAATGCCATATACAAACTCAGCCGAGCAGTGGAAAGAGACGTCTTTACTTTCATGCCAGCGCAGGGTTGACAACAAGAGCCAAACACACAGAGCCAAAGATCAGGAATACAGCGGTGAGTTCTTTACTTTTGCTCCAACCTTGAAGTTGTTGACGACTGAAATTTCAACAGGCCCTTGAGTGCGTGTGTGAAGAAGCGCCTTGAACATAAATAACATTTCCTACAGCGTGTCACTGGTGCCTTCAGGACTTCATCGTGCTTTGTGTAACTTTTATTGGATTTCGAGTCACGCTGACTGCGTGGTCTTAAGTTTTATTGAAACACTTTATCATTTACCACACGATTGAAGGGTGGTTTGTGCGTAAATGCGCAGCTGCAGTTTGTTTTGGTCAGGCGGTGAGTTGGACCAGTTGGCATGATTTACAGTGCTATTTTCAAAGTGTGCTGTCAGATTTCTGCAGCCAAAGCTGCTACTTCATGTTATAAAGTCTCCTGTTGTTCTGTGTCCTGAAATTATCACAGGATTACTACAGTTCTTGCAATGGTGCATAGAGAGTGTCAGCATTGTATTTTTACCTCTTGAAGCGTGCCTGTGGTACTCCTGTGATCATATTTTGCAGTATTGTGTTTTTAAATGACCCACACTGGGCCCATAACAAATCTTACCTGTGCTGTATAACATCCTTGTATATATTTTTTTAAGGTGTTAATGTAGCTTAGAGATTTTCCTTTCAGTGAAGCACTGTGCTTTCAGTGAAATCCTCTGACTGTGCATTGAGTCCACATAGAGCAGAGAAATTACCTCCCCATGTGTTACTTTGTCAGGTCAAACATCAGCAGCCACTCCGGTGATCCGCTCTGCTCAGCACATTCAGTAAGGAGATTTATCACACGCAACCTGAAGAGATGAGCGGCAGCAAGAAGTAAGTGACTTGACCTTATATAAATTGAATCAGCCACCCCTGTGTGTGGAAGAGCGTGTAGACAGCTACAGGTGCTTAATAAAAGGAGGAATAAATGCTTATAGATTGGGTGCACTTGAGGGACGAGTGGTTTAGTAATGAGGCTGACTAGTTGCAACATGTGTTCTGACTGCCAAGAAGGTGAAATATATGCTCAACAATATTGCTTTCAGACTGGGTGGGCTGTAGCTGACATGGCTGTATGTCAAGTTTATATGAAATTCAAACCATATCTGACTTAATTGTAAGCTACTCTATCCCTGAGCAATTAAAGAAAAATTATTGAATGAGTAGCATCAGTTAGGCAATTCTGACAGCTATTTGACATTTGTCAAGATGACACCGGAACTGCAATTCCAGGATGTTAAATCCCAGCTGAATTTTTGTTTCCCATGTGACCCCCAGTCAGTTCGAGGAAGCAGTGGAAACTTTTGGTGTGGTTTGTGTGACAAAAAAAAAACAAAGCTTTGAATTTCAACTCCATGCATGGTGAAAACTACTGTCAGACAAAAGCTTAATGTGGCTATCATTTACCAAAAATCGTACATATCCTTTTTAGTTAGTGCAGAAACCCTTTGAGGTTCTGGGGAATCTGATATCTGATGACATTTTACCTTCATTCTCCATTTTACCTCCCTTATTTGACTTTACAAACTTGATTGGAACACAGGAGAATAGAATAGATACATGACCTGGACACATTAATTCATATCTCATGCAATGACTACAACAGATACTGTAAACCATAACACAGTCCTGACTGCCTTGAGGCTGTTTGATGTTTCCATGCTTTGGGGACACAGCCAACAGTTGCATCAGCTTGGGTACGGAGAACACACTTTTCTCTCCAAACAGATAGTGAATGTAGGGTACATGTACAGATAATTGTAGGCTCTACAGGAATGATACGTTATCTGTGAAATGAAAGACAGATAGCAGCTAATAAACAATCGTGAGTGCAAAGTAACAGCTTGTCAAGTTTTGATTGCTTGCACAGCTTGTAATATGTTACAATGTTGCTTGAGGGTTTAGCTATTCATTATCAATACATTACTTAAATATTGATTAAAGGAAAGATACACCTTGAAATACTATTACACTAAATCATTTGCATTCCTTAGTGCCTGTTTTGTTCTTTTTCCATTTTCCTGTTATTCCTGGTAAACTGGACAAATGGTATATTGTTAAATTGAGATATTTCCTGTTCAGCTATATGGGATTTTGATAGTAGAAAATGTTTTTCTACATCACAACAAATCCCCAATGGAGTCAATTCCAACCTTGGATCAAGTCAAGGTCAGTCACAAGTCCTGGACAAAAAATATTGTATAATGGATATTGTAGTGAGTGTCACTTAAAACAAAATGCAGTTTTGGCTGACAATAGAGAATATAATATAGAAGTGCATTGAGGTCACGAAGCTTGTTGAACATAAAACTAAAAGGTACTTTGAACTGATGACTTTTTGATTTAAGAGATGAATCTATGATAAAAAAAAAAACTTTTTTAAACCCTATTTTCTTTTATGTTTGGTGGAATAATACTGTATGTCTGAACTGATGCGTTATGCTGCAAAGTACACAAGCATTCAAAGATATGATTCTGCATCACTCAACCTGCTGGTGCTTAACTTATGATTTATTATAATTCACTGTGCAGTTTTAAATACTGTAACTGATATTCACTTTGTTAATATATTTCTTTAAAGCCAATGTTTATTATTTTCGTTTAGTCTTTCCTTTATGCTGAACTGGCCTCCCCAGACATTCGCTGTCACGGTTTATTATTATTGTCGCCTGATTGTTTTGCCTTAAACTAAAATTGATTCTAGAAACAAAGAAGAGTTCAGGAAAAGGAGCATGTGATCATCAGAGAAACGTAACAACCTGCAGGTAAAAGCAAGTTGGAAAAGATTACTGCAAATTGTCTGCTGTGCAGGGTTTTGATTAAGGGGTGAAAAGAATTCTGGGGAATGTAAGCAAATCAAATTGCTTAAGTAGAAACAGACAAAGCAGGGCAAGGGGGCCAAGGTGAAGAAAATATGAAAAATGAAGTACAATTTCTTTCCATCACAAAATAACTCCTGGAAGGCACAAAACATCAAAAATACGTCATATCCAAATCATTAACTTTAATTTTTTTTTTTTTAAGTTCACTGAAGCATGTTGTTGTCCTCTCCTTCTCTGATTTAATATGTTCAGTTCAGTTCACTCGGGGTGCAGGCATGTGTGGGTGGTAGGGGAGTTTGGCCTGTTATATCCATGATTGTTCCATAGGTGGCAATGGAGGAAGTAGGAAGGCCAGTATTAGTAGGAAAGCTGGTCCACACATACAAATACAGCCTTTAACTGTGGCTGAATCATGAAAACTCTTTGCAAGTTGACCCAGAGCAGACATCAGCTATACGTCAGAGCTAAAGCTTGATATGTCGGTTTCTTGTTAAGATGAGTAATCAATCAGCCTACTCTATCTTTTTAATATTATTAAAATGACTACTGAAAATGATTTTTTGTTACACACAAGAAGTGTTGCAGTGTTATTTTCTTCTTCACAAATATTGATTGGAGAGTTGTTTGTCCACACATAGAACAGAAATAGTGACAGGGTGGCCGGTCCCGACCATCAGAGAGTGTTAAAACAACTCTGTTTGCTTGAAAATACTATTTCTCAGAGTTAAAATAACACTGATGATTTAGCAAACACACTTCTTCCTGTTCTGTGTTTGTTACGTTTCAAAACAAGACACCGATGAACTTAATCTACTTCTACTTATATGCTTATATATGAAGATGATGCGGCGCAGTGCGGTGAGTGGAGAACGTCTACTCATGCTGAGCAGGACGATGAATCCCAACCAGCTGGAAGAGCATTGTTCTGCAGCTGACCTTTGACCTCTGAGACCGTTGTATCCAGGGTATCTCCCCACCATGCTGTCCAGTCTACTTTGACCACGTATGGACTAGGTTGCTGGAGAACATTACTTAAAAGTATTAATGACATTATCGTATCATATCTCCTCAGTACGGACAAAGTAACAGCATTCATTTACTGCCTCATGAAAAAACAAACAACTCTCCAATCGACACAATACTAATCCGAGTACTCCTATCACTCTTCTGTCTCCTACTATCACTAACAATATTAATAATACTTAGCAATAATGTTATTATTTAAGTAATTTTCTATTGGGTAATCCTGACAAAAAAAAACTTGTTTTAATATTTTAATTTAAGGACAATTATGAATCCTTCAACTAATTTGTTAAAAAACACAAAAAATGATGCGATTGTTTCACAAAACAAACCAATTTGTCTGTGATCCCATTAGGATAAACCCAGGGCTTACGTAGTCTGCTATCTGTGTGTTATTAAGTCTTGGTGAATGAATGGGGGGGGTGGGGGTTAACTGTGGAGAGCTCTGCTAACACTGCTTATCTTGACAAAGTTCCAAAGATAAAGACGTGTTTAATGTAAACATTTGAATTTGCTGTTTGTGTAATAGCAGTGATTTTATGTTTTTCAGTTTTCATGGCAGCATGCAAGTAGCTGACTTGGAGTACTGTATTGCCCTCACCACACAAACAAACAAACAAACAGAACTTCTCTTCAGCCACTGAGCAAGCCTGTATGAAACATTCTTTAATCCTTATTTCACGTCGATATTTGTCGGTGAACCGTAGGCGAGGATGAACAAGCATGGAGTCGCGTTGGAAAGCAGCGGAGGCTCCGGCACACCAGCCCGTCATGGGTTTGTGTGTGTCTTGTCACTTAAGTAAAGCTGGCGTAATCCTGTAAGGGCGGATGAGTAGACATGTGATGCCCCACTTGTTTCTAAGGTTGAGGGCGGTGGAGAAGGGGGGCTGGCAGGCATTACTGACCAGATGGAGAGGCTTTGTAGTATGTGTGTGGGCGTGTGACTGATTAGAAACAACAATAACTGCTACTCTTTAAGATGTTTTTTTCGCCAGTAATGAACCACAACACCTTGATTCGGTGTGTAATAGGTAAAGCGTAGACAGGGCCACGTTTCGCTGGGTTCAAATCTCAGTCAGTTGGGCGTTTTGTTTTTTGCGCATGAACAGCACCACCAATTAGCAGAGACTTCCTGTCCTTGCCTCACCCCCCTCCACTAGATTAAATCCATTACATCGTACCTGTCGACTGCGCACTCTCCTCAAGGACGACACACATTCTCACACTTGGGGGTGGTTTACTTACTGAAAAGCAGATCTTTTGAGGTTCTATCTCAAAGCTCTGAGGTTGTCACACAGCGTGTCTGTCTATGAGTCTTTAATGGGCTGAGATGAGCGCCACCAGCAGCACCAGACTGAACCCCAGTCCAAACTTACTGCAGGTGAACGAGCCAAAGCGCTATGGCTCTACGTTGTCGCTGGAAGAGAAGTGTGAGCAGTCTTTCTTCCTCTTTTATTACTACAGGATGGAGGATGAGGCGGTGCTGGACCGGGGGGCGTCCTTACTCAAGCACATCTGTGACGAGGAGGAGGTAGAGGGTAAGTTTACCTGTTCCTGTACACTTTCATTTCTCTTTGTGTGTTTAAAAAAAGTCTGATTTTACCTGCCATGTGTGAAATACAAATGTCAGTAAACCTCAAACATGATGCTTTGTACATAGTTTTCCAAGGTTTAACTCTATTTTAAGAGGCATTTGTCTAAACCAAACCTTTTTCCTTCATTTTCCCGAGCAACTCAGTACTTCTGAATAGCTTTTTTTTTTAAAGCAAGGCCACTCATTGAGAGAAGTAGGAAGGGTGTCATTTATCCTTTTAGAGACAGCCAAATTTTGCACACTTCCTGCACGTACACCGTGACGCTCACCTGTTTAGTGAGCTGGCACGAGAAAGATGTAGAACACAGAGCATGTGATCCAGTGTTTACCTCACTAATCCCCTCAAAGACCTACAGGACAACAAAGGGAAAGGAAAGAAACCCTTCCAACATGCTATAATATATGAAATGTAAATCATTTCTATTGGCATGTTTTTGAATAATTAATTAATGCCATCAGGGAGTGAACAGTACAGTAATTGAACTGCAAACATTTGAATTTCTCATCACAGTTAATTGTAGATTTTGTTTTAATTTGACAAAATGAATAATAACATTTTGTTTGTAAGGCATATTTCAAAACTAAATTAACCTATCGGACAACTAAATATGTCAGAGTTTCTCCCTTACTAATAACACTATCGAAATAAGTGGTCTTTTTTGTTTTATTTGTATTTTAAAATCTTTATCCCATTATTATAGTAATTTATTGTAGCTTTTCATTGCAAACTTTATATCCAATATATGCTGCATTTTATTCATTTCAGATCCAGTTGGTTCAGAGCCAGCTAATTGCAAATGGTTTCAGTGGTCTATTAAATGTTTTTCAAACCTCAAACTCTCCTCACTACTCATGATGCTTCTAGTTGCCTAGGAGCAAGATTACATTTACATGGTGATGACATTAGCACCCACCATCACGGGTTTCTTGGTTCTAGTCCAGCAGATTAAAGGGCCTGGCATAGAGCCAGTTTTATCATCCAAGAACCTCATGTTTTGTGTAGATTTTTTCGTGGAAGTACTCAAATGTTTCCAGCACCAGCCATTTGTTGTTGGTGTTTTCAGGTCTTTTTTAAATTTATTCATTCTCTCTAAATGCCTAATGCATAAATTCATCGTTTTCAACTTCTTAATGTTGCTCGGATAGATAGTTTTTTTTTAAAGCAAGCTTCTAAAGTCGGCTAAAACAACAGCTATGAATGATGATGTAGGGTATAATTAATCTGTTGAAAATGGGCTAAAACATGTAAAACCACTGGTATGATCTGTTAAGTAACTTAGTTATACACATAATCAAAATAACAGAGTCAACATTGGAATTTGCACAGCAGTGTCCCCCATGAGGTCAACATTTTGTCAGGTGTCACCTCAGCTTGAACCCTACTTCAATCTCTCTAACTTCCTGTGCGTAACCAGCTTCTCAGCTGTGTCTGCGTGTGTCCTCGTCTGCCGGCTAAATCTCTTTTCGGAGTCTCCACTGAGCTCAGTCTCCTCCCCGCTGCTCGCTCAGAGCCGACAGCATGACTCAAAGACCGACTGATAAAAATGAACAGAAAGAGATGAGGTAGCTTGACATTTGTCACATTGTACAAGATAAAAGTCCCTAAGAGGAGCTTTGGTCCAATGGCCAAATTCTCTTTATCTGACACTGATTAGTCAAGCAAAACATTTGGTATCTGAACTCTGCGTCACAGACTGTATTAATGCTCAAGAATGACGATTCAGTTACACAGCCCAAGCTCCCGTGCACCTACATAAACACTCACATCTGGTGTGGACCTATGTTAAAGGGATACATCTTTGTATTGCTGTGATATAATACAGTTGCAAGATATCGACTGTTACAGCTGAGTCAGAAGTAAGGAGGAGAGGAATAGTAATTATTTATTCTGACAAAAAGCCAAACTATTAACATCTCTCCCCCACTTAAGAGTATATTTTTAAAAGCTGTTTTCTATTAGCATGCTGTCGGAGCTGTGTGGCAAGTTGCCATCCTCCCCACTGGTCTGGGCAGGTCCCAGTGGTACGGTTACTGGGGAAACTGGCGGTGGCGTTGCCTCTCCTCAGAAATCTAGTGAGCTAAACAAACCTCCCAGCACACACAACCAGCACACACAAGGATTTTATTTCATTCAGTGTGTGCTTGCATGCAGCTCCAAAAGAAGTTCTTCTTCCACGCAAAAAAGAAGAGGAAGTTGTTACACAAAGCTGCTCTGGCAGTGTGCAAATCTTCCCTTCCAGCTCCTTGACTCAACTATTTTTTATTCTCTCTCCTCCATCACTCTCCCCTTATTCTCTCAACTCCTTTCTAGTCGTCGTTCAGCTTGTGCAAACGTCTTCACGCTCTGCTTTATTGCTCATCTGTCAGCCCTAATAGCACTGGGGTCTTTATTTCTTTCTGTCTATGTCTCTGTTCTCTTTTATTGTCACTGTCCAGCCATCTGCCTCTGGGTCTTACTTACGTTTTAATTACGTAATGCCCAATCTGACTGGCCGACTCTAATGTTACCTAATAAACCAGAGAAAAGTTAAAAGGTAACACAAAGAATACTGGGCATTTATCTAAAGCTATTTTTGTTTCATAAGTTTTAAGTTTGCATTGCTTACAATGAGTTAGTGTTTCCAGAGAAAGGAACCAAGGAGCAAAATCATTTCATCATAAAGACAACAAAGAGACAACTAACTTGAACCTGAGCTGAGGTGTAATCAGCTAAATAAGTGAAAACACCTATGTGGGTGTGCAGGGCCTTTTTAAAAGTATAGTGTTTCCCTATAATGAATGGGCGAGGTGGGTCATTCTGCCTTAACAAGCTGCTAAGAATGTCTTTAGTAATTTCTCTACTGGGACCCTGACATTTGTAATGTTTCATGAAAATGGGCAAAATTACATATATAAAAAAACAGGCACAAAATCAGAAGAATCAGCCTTTAAAAACTCAAATCGATACAACCATTTGAACTTTTCGTATCAAAGGAATAAACACGTCTACATGGACTATGACGTGCCATATATTTACCTATCCAGTCTCCAGTTTAATCTGCAGTTTTCTGACTAAACTTTCAGCAACTTGGAGTTTTTGTTTCCTAGAGTGGGTGCATACTGTTTTTTATTTTGGCCAGCGATGCCGGCAGGATTTTTTTGATCTAGTGTTTTTATGTTATCCCATAAACATGTGACATGTACCATCTTTGTTGAACCAAAAGCCTAGTGGGCAGCAGCTCTGGTGTGGGTGTTGCGGGTCTCCAACTGCAACCGCTTGTCTGTTTTCTTCTGGAGAGTTCCTCCTCATATGATGTTGAATACCAAATATTTCTTTATATATATCTATTATTATGTGTCTAAATCTATATTGTATCTTTATTTTTAAATTATTTTAAACTGTTGACAGTTTTTAAGCAAATTAAACTGTTTTATTTTAAATATTGTTTTTCGTCTGATTTTCTGTCACATCAACAGCAATGATACAAGCAAACTAGAGGCTGATTTCTGATATTCAGTATTTAACAACAGGCCAATATCTGCTCAGTTTGTTGCTTTAACCCAACTTTTTAAAAACCACATTTGAAAACTGCATTGAAAAACTGACCATAGACAGAGGAGCAGGAAGTTTGAACAAACAAAATATCCCCTCTAATTTACAGTATCCCTTCACGCTTTAGGTAAGACAATTCAGATCATTTTATATCTTCCTCGTCTCTGATGCCCAGCATTAGCTTGGTATGCTGAACCGTCTGTGTCAGTGAATTTAGATGAACCCTTAAAAAACAAGGCATTGTGGTGCGAGTGAATAATGAATGCTGTTGTGCTTCAAGAGAGATCATTGTTTGTTGTGTTGAGGGGTTCAACCACTTCCTGGTTGGGTCATGTGCAGTGCTTGGCTCAGCGTTACCCGACGTGCTCCAAAAGGTGACGTTTGACACTGATCGCATAGAGCCTTTTGTTTCAGGAGGACTCTTGATGTTCACTCTGGACGGTTGCTTTCTTTCTTCCCCTGCTTAGGAAGGATATACTTGTGGTACTAGAAATGCATACACTGGCATATACAGTACTGTATGTATAGAAAACTAGCATTAAAGTAAGTACTGATGGTCTGATGGTCCAGGAAATTTCCAGTGCTGAATGGTCAGATACAAAGTGCTACAGCTTGCATACAGCTTCATACACACAGCATATCATGTTAAATGATGCATCATAGTGAGAGGTGTTTCTAATATGTCCAACCCATTTATATCAGTGACACCTCCCAGTATAACCCAATGCAATTCAGCAGCCCCACAAAATAAATCCTACCCACTGACCGTATCGTGACTTCTCTAAGACAGTTGCAACAAAAACTGAACATTATACTGTAACCTTCATGAAGGTTGGATTTATTGCAGAACTGTTGTATTAGACTGCATTAGCTTTAGCTATCTTAATGAAGGATTGGTTGCACAGTTTTCATGGTAGAAAAAAATGGCATTGTCCATAGATATTTGTCAGACAACTCCTGCTGCATAATCCACATCATCTCTGTCCATCATTATATGCAATATGTTTAAAAGGATAATTGATTCGTCGGTAAATCACTAAAATTAGTTTAGAATAAATGCCCTGAACCAGATACCATATCTGAATATGACCAGCATTTTTGAAAATGTATGTATATCATGTTTGCATGAAACCCACCTCCATCTGAATGGCATGTTTTTAGCAAACAGTCTGGTCTGCTTGCCATTATTGACCCTAACCCAACAAACTACATGTAAAACTGCACGTTCTGTTGGTATTGTGCCAACATGCATAACAGGGATGTAGTCGTGCAAGCAGTCTTGGCGTCTTTACTGCTACGTCCTACTTCTTTTTCTGTCCAAATATTTGTTTTGACAGTGTACTGCAACCCATATAACCCTGCTCTGCTACGCTGTCTTGAGGATGTGAGAATGTTCCCTGTATAACTGAATTGACAAGTGGTCAAGATTCGGTGAGGGTGATGTTGTATCTTACTTATTTTGCAGCACTGTAGCGATAATGCCCAGATTTTCTAAATATTGATGTTTTAATTTGGCACTTTTTGTACTGTTTTTAGGAAGTCAGCTGTGAAGTTCAGGTGCATCATTTGCATCCAAGCAATCTGAATTTGTCAGTATTTTTAGTGTCAGAGAGCTCATCTGCTGTTTTGCGTTTTGCAGGTCACCACACCATTTACATCGGTGTGCACGTTCCCAAGAGCTATCGGCGTCGGAGGCGCCACCGTCGGAGAACCAGCCACAAGGACAGAAAGGAGAAGTTGACGGAGAATGCCTCTGACAAGTCGGACACAGAAAACAACGATGAGGCAAGCAACAGCATCCTCAAACCTCTAAGTAAGTTCTGATGGACTCCACGTCAAGGCTGGTTAGGGCTCATGTCTGTCTTTGCTGAAGGCTGCTCTCTTTTCCACAAAAAAGCCCCTGTAACTCCCTGTGACCCCAAAGAAGTTGCTGAGTCCAGTTAGTGGCCAGGAATAGCCGTGCATGTCCTGCTGAGTGACAAGTCTGTTTCGACATAGCAGAGTGAATTTTCATTAGAAGTAATGGCTACTCAGATTTAACTGTACTAGTGCTGAGTCTCTTGGGGACAGTGTGTAAGTGCATGCCTTTCTCTGCTTTTGTCCTTGTTTGTAGACATAAGTGTATCTGTTTTTGTGTGTATGCGTGTGTGTTAGCATCTATATGTGTTAGGGCTTGTGTTCTTGGTTGGCTGGAGTGTAAAGTACGATGTGCCCTAAGGCACAGCTGCTCCAATCTGCGGATGCTCGGACAAAGACCTCCGGCCTGTTAGAGGCAAACTTGAGAAAGCGAGCAGGGAAAGGTTACACTGGGTGACTGTGACTTAAGATGTGAATTTAAGTGTAAGCCCAACTTATACTGATGTCGGCATTTTTTGCATGTGCAATTTAAGGTTCAGTGTGAGACTTTTATTTGCATTAATAAAACCTGTAAATGTCCAGTGACTTATAATGTCACAAAGATCATGGTGATTTCCTCAATACAATTTATGACATTTATATGATATGCTGGGGTTGCAAGATAATTAACAACAGAGAAAAGTTAAAGAAGAAGCTAATAGAGATTTTTGTTTTTGTTTTTTTGTTTTTTCTCTCGAGGGCTATAAAAGCTATCCAGATGAAACGATATGAGAAGGGAACATCACATTTTCGTTGAACTGCTAACTGTTCATAAACATATGCTCATAGATGTAAAGGATAACAAGCCAAAAAGGTTGGGAACCACAGATTTCTATCTTTATTTTGATGATTACAGGGGCCTTGCAATAATGTTGAAATCGGTAGATAAAAGATTGCGTGATTACGTGAGGTCCATGTGTAACAATAGTCCTCTGTGAATAAGGCTTAAAATGCCCTTGCTTTCTATCAAATCAACTAATGACGCAGGCCACTGTAATTTCTAGAGAATGACATAATTTTACACATGCCAGATTTCACATGAAGTGACAAGAGGACCAAAATGCACCAGGACTGGATTTTACAATGTGTACACATCACTTGATGTGGGGGATTTTCTTCAGGGCATAAATCCAATCAGAGAATAGATTACAGCCAACCCATCTGGTTGTTGCTACTGACTGGGATCATGCATATTTAGCAAACATTGTGAGTTTTATAGATTTTTGGATATGTTACTTGATCACGGTCAAGCTACATGGGGATGCAATGTTTTATAAAAAGAGAAAAAAGTGGCTGAAGATGTGATTATTGATTTAATATTGGCATTTCACATATCATGTTGCTAGATGAGCAGTGTAATCTGAGCTTTTCTGTTAATAATTCTAATGAATCTGCTAAATTCAAATTTAGTCTTACCCTGACTTACAGAGTGAGGTGGTCTTTTAAAGCCAAGCCATTTCCACCTGACCCATTGATCACAGATTGATCATGTCATTGGGCTGCAAGCAGTACAACTATAATGATGTACACTTCTCACATTGTTTTAAGTTTAATAGTTTTAGAGGCCTGAAGGTAAAGCTGTGTAGCAGAGAATATCTTTTTTTCTCCTTCTCATTAACGATTTGTCTTGCGACCCCTCAGATTTATCCTGCAATGCTTAGTGGGTCTCGACTCCCAAACTGGGAGTATTTTGTCATTTTTTTTCCCCTCCTGAAAGTCTAACCCCATCCCTAAGACTAAAGCAAGTGTCTGGTTATAGAGCACTGACCTGGCAGGGATGCACTTGTACTCACCAAGGCTAATGGATCCCACCCGAGATTCAGGCTGAGATGAGGACACGTGTGAAACCCTAGACACATCGGTTGGTTACAGCAGCATTCATTCTCCATTCATGGAAAATGCGACTACGTTGGCAGGAGAATGTGAGCATTGACGTTTTGTTAACAGTCAACATTGTGGTATTCTGCTGGCTCATATGGGTGAAATAGCGTAAAGGCTGTTGATATTTTGTAAAAATTTGTCATGGAATTAAGGGCTCCATGAAGTGTGCAGCGGAATGGCATAATACAAACAGAGAGTAGACAGTATAATTGGTATTGTTGTTCAGTCAGTGGTTCATTTACTTTATTTTATGTAAACAGACTTTTGTACAATTTATATTCCATTTGATGTGAACCATTAAGTACACTCTTTCGCCATGTCCACTGTAAGTTTATTTACTGAATATGTATGTATGAAAGTGTCTTCTTCCTAGTAACAGAAAAGGGTCTCATCATGAATCAGAGATCTTCAGCATGCTCTAGTCATTGAATAAGACTTCTGGCACACTTGTATTAGCAGAGAAAAGATAAAGAAAACAAAAACCCACATCTGTGAATTTAAGCAGCATTTTCTCAGCAACAGGGCCTTTTTCTGTCTTTTTGCAGTTCTCGAAAAATATATAAACAAGTCCCCCTAAAGAAATATAGCCCTCAAGAAAGACAAGTATGTGTCTGAGCCCACCTGCAGTGTGCTGGGACATATTGGAGTTTTAGTTGAGACAAACATTTCTCAGAGGAAGAGACCTAAATAATCGTATTGGCTGAGTTGAAGCAAAGTTACACAGTTACAATTAGATGCCTTTTCTTTGACTCGCAAGCATACATGGCTTCAGGCAACACTAGATGGCAGTTTCAAATGTTCCTAATAACAAGTGCAATTTACATACTGAATGAATGTACAGTTGTGGGAGGCAGATTTGGTCACTGAGGGTATTAAGCAGAATATAGCTTTTACGAAAATATTAGAAAACCTGTTGTAAACACACTTTGTAGTTACAGTAACTTTGGACCGAAGCTCACACACAAAAGACAAAAGGTTAGAGAAAATTAAGCTAATATCATAAAGTTTAATTCTGAAATAAAAAAATCAAGCAGCAGAAAAACAGCTGTGTAGCAGCTTATTTTGATCCATATTACATCGTTAGGCTGCGACCTCTATGGGCCGTATTTATTATGACTGAAGCAGTGTAAAGAGCAAAAAAAGTCTGCCTATGGAAGTGGTTGTGGATGGATCAAAGGAACACAGGACTTTCACCTCGTGTGAAACCCAAAGTCAGCGTTGTATTTAATATAATATACTTTACGTATGTCACTTATGTCACATGACTTACTCACTTATTTTAACCTGGACATGATCTTCTCCCTGTGTAGGATTTAGTGGCATCTAGCGGCGTCGTTGCAGATTGCAACTCCCTTTCTTCACCCTCTCCTTCCAAACACTGAGGAGAAAGTATGGTGGCTGTAAAACTCTCTTAAATGTTACAAACTATTGCTGGTACTCTTCACCGGTCATATCTGTCATTTGGGGATTTTACTTGTCGAACGTACTATTCTGACATTTAGGTACAAGGACATGTTAAAACCAGGCCGTATTATATGACTTATAAATGAATGGAAAACAGATGTCCTGGTAACGTGTTGGACCACTATGCGCCACCAGAACAGTTACAGTTCTCCTTGTCATAGATTATTCAAGTCTCTGAACTCTACCACGGAGATGACCACTATTCATCCCAAAGATGTTCCTTCACATGATGTTTTGATACTGGTGGGGATGGGGCTTCAAAATATGTCATAAGTGTTCAGTTTAGTTGACATCTAGTTAGTGTAAAGGCCAGAACATACGGCACTGTATGACCTGCAGAATTATCATATGTTGGATCTTAGTTAGCTTACTGGGAAAGCTAGTGAGCTAGCCTACTGACCTTCCAACATGATGACTGTCATAATAATAGAGATAAAACTGCATTAATGCAGGGATTTTATTGCAGTCCAAAAACTAGTTGTTTATTTGTGTATTTGGATATTTGTGACTCTAGAGCAGCTCTGACTTTGAGAGATGTTTGTACAACTAAAACTCAAATCTGCAGCCATGCAAAAACTGACAGGCATGCAGTATACCTAATGTCCTACTGTTTTGCACTGCCCTCTTGCATGTTACTCTCTCTGGGAAATATGGCTGCCCCCATGGGAAGGCCCATGTCTGTGGTCTGGATTGAAATTCTCTTGTTTGGTCAGATGGACGCTGCAGGGACTGCAAGTCCATCCTCCTGGTCGTCCACTGCAGGGCCATTTGACCCCTGCTCATTTTGATGAGCATGTTTTTTTTCCAAAGCTTTCCCTTCCTATTTTAGTAGGATCAAATGTTCTCTCAAAGTGGATTACAAAGATTACTTAGAAACTTGGTCCTTATACAAATGGGTTTAATTTCCCAAAGTCAGATAGAGCAAGCTAAGACTGATGTATTCAGTTTTCTTTCTTTTTTGTGTGAATACATCTCCAATTTAAGGCTCTTGCTTCACTGAGACCTGCTTTTCTCAAAATTGAAAGTAGATTGAGATTTATGATGACTTTCAAAATTGATTAGATAAATGTAAAGGTCGAGGTAGAAACCTGGCTGTTTTTCTTGTGGTTTCTGAAAAGTTGACATTTCGGAGCTACCAGGGTATCACATGGCAACAGTAATATGTGTTGTGCATCTTTAAATATTTAAAGTTATCACTTTGAAAGTAAAGTCTAATTCCCTTTGAAAGCTTTTCCATGATGATAGATATATTCTACTTGGTACTAAATAGTTTCCCTGAGAGTAACGAGGGAGGGTCCAAAGGGAAGAGACATTCCAGCGTTTTTAGTTAGAAATTAAGGTATACATGTACTGACAAGGATACAGTGGGCAGAGGAGTGAGAAAATGAATACTTTTGGTTTTTTTAAGGCTCAATGGCCTTCACTTGATGATTCTGGAAATTTAAACCATCATTACTCTATTACTCAATAGGAGGTTCTGTAAAACCTTATCCTGTGAAGTAGTTCTAGAGCTGTGAGACCAGACTGTCTACAGAAGAACAGACTGTAGGAGATATTCTTCAGCGTCACAAG